ACTCAGAATTTTTGGTTCACCGACTTCAAAAGGAATGTCGAAATCTTCCTCGATTTGGGATTTAAAAATAAACCGGTGACTTGGGATACCAGAAAACAAACCATCCCAAGTGGCGACTCTAAACAAAAATAAATAATTAATCCCATTTTGAATAATGTCACTTAAATTGGAAAAACTCCCTTGTACTACCTTCGGGTAGTGTAAAAAGGAGGTGTGACACTAACAACCGGAAATCGCCAAAATATCAACTTCGCCAATTCAAGCCTAAATCTACTCCAAACCTCTAAAACCCATTCCGATCACGCTCTTAAGTCATAAATCACCTCCCGAAGCTAACCAAACCATCGGAACTCACATCCGAGCCCTCTAACACATAAGTCAACATCCGGTTGACTTTTCCAACTTAAACTCCTTTAAAAGAGACTAAGTGTCTCAAACTTTGCCAAACTCATTCCGGACTCTATCCGACCAACCTGATACCACAAAACACGGATAACGAAGCATAAAGGAGCAAAAATAGGGAAAACAGAGCGGTAACTCATGAGACGACTGGTCGGGTCGTCACAATATCACTAGTTACCTATTGAATGCACATATTCATAGTTGTAAATTGAATGAACACGTTAATCTAAACACATTAGATAGCATGTAAATCGTAAAACGAGAACTTACTTGTTCTTCGTGAAGCAGAAGCAAAAACAGATGAACCGTGGCTGGAATTACTGATTGGTGGTGGTTGTCACGATGTGTTGGAGCAACCCCCAATTCCACAGTCTAAACCCTAACCGAAATTGAGAGAGAAGAGCATAGAAAAATACTGCAGAATATCTCTCTTTAATGTACACACTAAGTGTAGGGAATATTAGGGTTAACTAATAACCCTATTGGGCCTTAAAGCACCCCTTATGGGTGGACCCAATTTTTCTACATCTCCCACTCACACATAATGGGAGTGCTCATCTAATATGAGAAACATATTCTCATCTCCCCAATCATTCATACAGGGAAGTAAACCATGCGACCAGCATACTGTGAGAGCTTAGTGCTATATATTTGTCAGGAGTATATAGCCTCTCGTCGAGTGCAAACCTGCAAGTAGATCATAAAGTATGCAGTACCCTAGATCATGTAAATCACATTTGATATAGTCTCAAAATCTCATATATCATTATTTCTTGTATTCACAATCATAACTCATAAGTCATAATTGGTGCGCCAATGAATACAAATAAATGAGATTCCATCAATGATCTTCCTCTTCTCACGATTTCCTTAACATTAGTATGACTGATTTTCCAGTTATGCTTCGCTAGACCGAATCTGTGTTCACGGTCTTTTGGAAACACACTAAGATAGTTAACATCACACTAAGTCTCAAGTATCTGATCAGGGTCTCTAAGGGTACAAAATCTTGAGCTATCATAAAAGCTCTGGGTCTCACACAACAATAAGTTGAGAATGAACTTATGTTAACCCAATTGGTCGATATTAGCACATATGGTATGAAACATGTGCTACAACATTTTCTCCCTTTTCCCAAGGAGCGTATTTATTTATCTCATAAAGAATGTTGTATAGATGAATTTAGACACCACAAGTATTTAATTTTGAGTTCTCTGATCTACAATATCATTTTTAACTCGCATCTGGCTCACAAAGTAGAGTAGGTGAATGTTTTTCACCCTAATGAACTTATGTCATTGTTTAAGCGACATTCTGATTTAAAGCGAATAGCTCTCAAATTATCCTTATGATAATTTTGCTTAAAATCATGTCTCATCTCCTCACATCACTAAGATAAGGAGGTGGTTTTCTGTGTGAGAAGGCCAACCTCATGTCTACTCAACATACTTATAAAAAAATAAACAAAGAATGTACATAACATTCAACAATAAAAATATGTATGAATGTAAATCAACTTTATTGATAATCAAAGAACATCAGTTTGAGAACACGGGAAAATAAATAACAAAATAAAGTATCTCAGAGTCTACGTAAGCCTTGAGACCTAGTGTGTATCTCTAGACAAAGGCTTGGTCAATGGATCTATTAGCATATCTTTTGTAGGCACATACTTCACATTCACTACCTTGCGTCTAACCATGTCTCTCGCATAGTTCTACTTGATATCTATATGTTTGGTTTTACAATGAAACTTTGGGTCCTTGGTGGAGGATATTGCAGCCTCACTGTCACAGTAGACTAATACTGGTTCAGTATTTTCAGCAATATCCAGCAAGTGCTCCAAGAACTTTTTCAACCAAACAGCTTCTTATGTTGCTGATACGAGAGCCACGTATTCGGCTTCCATCGTAGATAGTGATACACATGATTGTTTCTTACTACTCCATGATATGGCCCCATCACCGAGTAAGAATACATATCTTGAGGTAGACTTCCTCTCGTCTAGATCTTTTCCATGGTCAGCATCACTGTATCCAACTAATGGCAGATCCTTGTCGCCTTGATAACAAAGGGCATAATAAGCAGTTCCCTTCAGATATCTCATGATCCTCTTTACTGCTTGCCAATGTGCTAAACCTAGGTCGGTCTGATATCTATTTACCAAGCTAACTACTTGATAGATATCAGGTCTAGTGCACACCATAGCATACATTAGACTTCCGACTGTGCTCTTATATGGAACTTGGCTCATTCTTTCTGTCTCTTTAGGAGTCTTAGGACACATCTGACTTCCCAAGGTATGGCCTTTACTGATAGGAGTTTCAACTGGGCTACTATTTTGCATATTAAATCGTTCAAGAACTTGCAATTCTCTTGTGAGAGATACAATAGTTTCTTTGGACGATCTCTTGAAATCTTAACTCCAAGAATATATGCACCTTCACCCATATCTTTCATCTCAAATTGGGATGATAACCATGACTTTATCTCGGTTATAAACTCCTTATCATTTCCAGCTATAAGTATGTCATCTACATACAATGTTAAAATCACAAGCTTGTTTCTTGATCTCTTGGTATAAACGCAATGGTCTTCATCCATCATGGTAAAACCATTGGATACAAGAACATTTTGAAAGTGTGTATACCACTGCCTTGAAGATTGTTTGAGGCCATAAATAGACTTCAAAAGTCTACAAACCTTTTGTTCGTAGCCCTTTTCAATGAAACACTCAGGTTGTTCCATATAGATTTCTTCATCTAGTTCTCCATTGAGAAAGGCAGTCTTTATATCCATTTTATGTAATTCAAGATCCAGGTTGCAACAATAGCTAGAACCAGGCGAACCGAAGTAAATCGTACACCAGGCGAGAAAGTCTCTTCTTAGTCTATTCCTTTCTGCTGTGTATTCCCTTTCGCCACTAGTCGAGCCTTATATCTCTCAACTGTGCCATCAACCTTGAGCTTATTTTTGAGAATCCATTTGCTCCCAATTGATTTACGTCCTTCAGGGAGGTCAACTAGTTCCCAAACTTTGTTGACTCTCATAGACTCCAATTCATCTTCCATTGTTTTTGTCCATTTATCCTTAGAAGGGCATGAGAGAGCCTCTTTTACATTTTTAGGCTCGTTTTCTTCTTGTAGGAGCATCATAAATAGTTCTCCTCCTTCAAAATTAAATCGTCGACGGGGAATCTTTTTACGAGAACCACGTCTTACTTGTGATTCATCATTGCTCCCATTTGGATCAATGTTGCTCCCACTCAGATCAAGGTCATTCATCTTGCTCCCACTTGGAACAAGATCTGTGACCATCTCGCTCCCACTTGGAACAAGATTCATTTGGTCACTTCTACTAAAAGTAGAAAGATTACTCTCATTCGCATCTGATGATGAAGGAGGTCTTTGATGAGAAACTAATTCATCATCTGCTAAAATTCTCCCACTCGAATTAAGTGATCCTTGTACTTCTTGATCCATTATCTCAAATAAGGTTAGGTCTTGACCTACCTCTCCCTTCTTAGGGAACTCATCATCTAAGAATGTGACATCTCGTGATTCAAACTCAGTTACACTCTCACTATCTTGCTGACCTATAAACACATAACCCTTTGAGGTTTCAGAGTATCTTATAAAGATACTTTTCTTTCCCCTCAGGCCCAATTTGCCATATTTATGAGAGGAATCATGTGTATAGGCAGCACAACCCCAAGGTCTTAATACACTTAGGTCGGGTTGTCTTCCAGTCCATAACTCATATGGAGTGGTAGTAACTGATTTTGTAGGCACTCGGTTAAGTACAAAGGTGGCAGTAAGTAATGCATCAGCCCAGTAACTAATTGGGAGGTTAGCTTGTACCATCATTGACCTAACCATTTCTAGGAGTGTTCTGTTTCTTCTCTCTACAACACCATTATGTTGTGGAGTATTTGAGATAGTCAACTGATGAACTTTTCCCTTTTCATCACATAAATTATTAAACTGAGTTGATAAATATTCACGACCACGATCAGTTCGAAGAGCTTTTATCTTCTTGTCTAATTGATTTTTCACTAAGCTCATATAGCTTTTGAAGCAACTTATTGCTTCTTATTTGTGGGAAATCAAATAAACATAACTGAAACGGGTAAAGTCATTAATAAATGCGATGAAATAATTTGCTCCATGCCTAGACCTAACATTCATAGGCCCACAGATGTCCGAATGGACTAATTGCAAAGGATATCCGGCTCTAGTTGCCTGACCAAAAGGTTTTCTTGCAGATTTTCCAGCTAGACAATTTTCACAAGTGGACAATTTCACATGTTCAATGCTGGAAAGCAAACCTTGTTTTGCTAACCTTTGCATTCTTTGTTGGCCAATATGACCAAGTCTAGCATGCCATATGTTTACATCATTATCATATTTATGTTAAAAAACAAACATAGAAAAACTAGCATTATTATTAAATAAATCATAATCCAAATCCATAATAATTAAACCCCCAGTCACATGACCAATACCAAATAAAGTTGAACCAAAAGTCAACTTGACAGAATTGTCATGACAAAACAAGTCAAATCCTAACTTAAGCAAAACTGAAACTGAAATAACATTCTAGCAAATGGTTGGTGCAAAGAGAACCTCGTGTAGTATTAGGTCTCGACTACCACGCAGGACTAACTTGCATGTACTGATCCCTTCAACACTAACTTTATTGTTGTTACCTACATATATCCACTTTGCTACACGTGGAACTCGCCGAAATTCAACAAAGGCATTGCGTTCCCAGGCTATGTGGTCCGTTGCTCCTGAGTCTACAATCCACAAAGGATTAGATTCAGTTAGAAAAACAGAACTAGAAACACAAAGTTCACTAATTCGTGCATCGTGAAATACCTTTCTAGGAGGCTCAAAGCAATCTCTAACATAGTGACCCTTCTTGTCACAATTATAGCATTTCACTTTATCAACTTTCACACGTTTGGGACGTCTGTTCTTGACTTTTTCAGTCTTTGCTCTTTTAGCAGGCTGAACTTGAGGTGGCCCTCTCTTCTTTCCCCATTTCCCTTTCTTTGAATCGCTCTTGGTTTTGGAGGTTGTTGCCATGTGTAACTCAGCTATTGGCTTTGCAGCCTCAAGTCGTTCCTCCTCTAACTCAAGGTGTCTCCGGACATCTTCCAGAGTTGTGATTTGCTCATTATGGGTCAAATGCATTTTCATATGATCCCAAGAACTAGGTAAAGAGCGTATGACAGCTTGAATATGTTGTTCATCAGTCAACACACATGACTAGAATCTTTCAACTCCCCGATCATATTTGTCATTTGCCTCAGATGTGTTTTCATTGAATGTTCTGGGCATTTCTTGCAGTGGAACAGGTACCAAACCTTTTCCTCAAAGCATTCCAAAGATCCATAGCTCTTTGGTGATCCTTAAACTCCCTTAGAATGTCATCATCTAAGGTGCTTAACAACTTAATGCGAGCAATGGAGTTCTTTTTCTTCCAACGAGGCTTCACGCTTATGCCTATGCTGAGCAGTATTACCTTCCTCATGCTCATTCATGACATTGTTGATGGCCTCCAGAGCCTCTTGCTCCTCTAGCACATACTGGACTTTCAAGCTCCAGGTTTCATAATTGTCACCATTGAGTTTCAACCCTTTGTTGAGCTCAGCAACAATGTTTTTCGAAGTAGTAGTCATTTTTTAACAAAATAAAAAATAAAATGAGGATCATGAAAAAAATAACGCAAGGCACGATGTTCTACATACATACATATTATGACACTAAGCATCAATTGATTAAGTTAATAAACACATATATTAATTATGGAGTCAAAAGTTCACTATGTTCCCAATCATCGTCCAAGAATTAAAATATCATGAAATTAACCTATTCAATTATCTAGCTAAGCGTCTTAATCATGTTTAAGACAACATAATTATCTAATCATGATTTTATAATCCATGTGGATCATAAGTTAACAAATAACTTATATTAGCATGTAAATAAAATTAATGTCAAACTAATTAACATTTATTACATGCTATTCAAATTCACATAAAATTTACTTTAATGTTAAACTAATTAACATATTATACATGTTAAACAAATTAACAAGTATTGTTAATATTAAACTAATTAATATTGATTTCATGCTAAATAAATTAACATAAAGCATGTGTTAAACTAATTAACCAAAGTAACGTTAAAACAATTAACATTTCAAGCATGTTAAATAAATTAATATATAAATTTAATGTTAAACAAATTAACATTACAAGCAATTGGGATAATAAAACATTATAGTTTCATTAAAAGAATATAAATACTAAATTTATATCCTGAAAATTAAGTCCATAAGACTAATTTTAATAATCTGAAATTTATTAAATAAATGACATAACTAAATTAAAATTTTATTTAAGCCATTAGCCTACAATAAAATTAAACAAGACATATAAAAGTGAGCCTCTAGCCCATCTAGAAAATTAAAGAGAATGGTACAATGGGCCTTTAGCCCAAAGTTGATGTCTGCCAACTTTAAAGAAAAATGTAGCCCGATTAGCTACTTAAGCCCAACAGCTTTTCAACCAATTTAGAAGGTAAAAATTGCACGGGGCGTCCTATTTGGTCGCCCCCATTTAACCTATACCCATTTTTTAAAAAGTTTTAATTTGTACTTATTTTTAAACAATTTCAGCTCTCTTACTCCTCCTCAAAGTTATATCAGCCCTCAATCCGATAGACACTCCTTTCTGAAGTTGCTGATTGTGAAAATGTTCCAGTAATTGACATGGGCTGTGGAGATAGAAACCTTTTAGGGCATTTCATATACTTAGATGTTTACAACCATCAGCCTTGACTATTGGAATTATGCACATAAGCACGGACCCAAAATCTCAGAAATCGGAATACAAAGATGATCCTTGGTTATTCACAGAAGCTAGAACATAAGAACTATACCCAGATGCGAGAAATCAATATCTTGGAAAATATACCAATGATTATTGGCTTATTTTAGTTCTTCTGGTAAAGAATTGGAGTATAAAAGATTTTTTTTAATGGTAGTATGACAACCTATTGTCCATGCAAGTTTGATACAAAAGGTTATATGTTTATAACCATCAGCCTTCTGCACAACGTGTTTGCATTTAGGGCATTTCATCCATTTAAATTTCTTAGCAAATTCCCCAACTTAAGCTTTGCCAGTTACAAACAAAAACTTCGACAGTTACAAAACAAAGACTTCAGCTCTATTTCACCAGTTACAAAACAAAGACTTCAGCTATAGAGCTGAAGTTTGCCAGTTACAAACAAAGACTTCAGCTCTAGAGCTGATTCAACACACTTGGTTCAGCACACTTGCTACTTCAGTCCTGTCTACTAGAATGCTGAAGTTTTGCGTGATTGACTTTGCTACTTCAGCCCCGTATACTGAAATTACGGAAAAAAGTGGGTACACTTGCAATTTTTTTTGCAAAGCGAGCACAAGTTAAAACGTTACCCAAAAGCGGGTATAGATGCAAATGCCCCATTTAGAAAGAAGAGATTTGAGTCCAAATATTTTGAAACCAAAATAATTACATAGGCTTTGACTTCTTAGGTGGGAAACTAGGTTTCACTATCTTTTCTTCTTTCTTGCACCAGCCGTCACTCTTATGGAACACAAAGTTCCATTTTTTTTTATTTATGGAATCTTAAAAAAAAAAAAAAAAAAAAAAAAACCC